AGCTTCGCACTGGGTGAACTAGGGTGAGTTTCATTGAAATTTCAGGGCTCTGTGCTTCAAGAAGCAGACCATGACTTTATTTGGACTATTCTTAGGAAATCCTCGGCATGGGTTAAGTGTTGAGAGAACCAAGGGAAAGGGGGGGGGGGATGGGTTGTTGTTTTTAATTTTGGAATTTTAATCACATACTTACTCAGAATCTGAACAAAATGTTTGCTGGTTAAACAAGAGATTAAACTCTCTTTAGCTCTGAAAGAGAGAGAACATTTGCTTCCCCAACCAGAATAGCCAGTTGTTTCAAACCCCATATCTGAGTGGCAGAGATGGGCATCAGGAGTTGTCTAGTGCAGTTAAGCACAGGTGATTCCAGAGAAGCCAGGGGGCGCCCTGGAATGGGTTTACCCCGAGAGAGGGACTGTGCCTTGGGAACACCACAACTCCATCACACCTGGTAAGCTCTTGTTGATCCTTCCGCTAGTATTCTTGGCAGACTAAGAATCCTTGTGGAGTTTCCTGAGAAAATTTTACCCCTAGAGCCTAAAGTAGTCAGTCCTATCCAGAGATCCACAGCATTAGGCTCATCTAGAGATGTGCACATAAAGGTCAGTGCTCTGTAGAAGTTTGTGTAGACTCCACAGCTCTCAAAATTAACACGAAAAATAGAGTCTCCCAATCCAGCAAGGCCCACCACAGTTTCCCATTAATATGAAGATGGCCAAGATGAGGATCCCTGGATCCTTCTAAATTAATGTTTGTGCACACAATTAGAAAAAATAGCTATAAAATCAAACCTTTCATTGGTCTACAGAAGCTTCATAAAACAGTGTTTAGAGAAATAGATCAACCTATTATGTCAAAACAATTCTTTAGGGTGTTAAAAATGGCTGTCTTTATTCTAAAAAGGGAAAGTCAGTTGGAACTTGACTTGTCAAGGGAAGATATAAATCACAAAAAGCCTCCAAAACAAAATTTGAATCCAACTGTTCTCTGTGTGTGTCTATCTGGGTATGCATATATATGTACATTATAAATATGCGATAATTTTCTACCTCCAGATGGTATTGTCAAAATTAATTCAAAGGCAAGCACTTGTAAAGGATTGAGCATTCTAAAATTCTCAGAAATATAGAAACTAACTCAATGCTTTTCAAGTTCCTGTGATTTAAGATTAATCCTTATTAAATAAAAGCTAGCTTAAGTGGATGGTTTAGTAAAATAAATAAATAAATATAATAAATAAATAATTAATTAAATAAATAAATACGAGAGAGCAAAGAACTTCATTGTTTATGCCAAGACCCCTCTACAGAAGCCTGGCCACCCTACAAATGCCAAGTTTATATACATTTTGCCCATTAAAGGAAGAGCTCTATAATAGAATATACACAGTGGTATCTGCATTGGCAAATAATAAACCCAAAAGAAGAAGTGTTGTCTTCTCCCGACCTGGTGAGGCACACCCAGCTGCTCAGGAACCCTGGTCTGCTGGAAAACACACAACACTACACTCTGTCAGTCAACACACATTGGTGCTTGGTGAGAACTGTACCCCTCTCTCTCCTTAGGCCATTTTCTGATTCTAGGTTTAGGAAGGATGGAGGCTACATTAACGCTTGTTTTTCATTTAAGTCATACCTGGTGAATATCTGAGTTCTCTCTTTAAAGATTTATTGTAGAGAGGAAAGTAACTCACTTTTAGTTCTATCTCTAAGACTAGGGAGTTGTTAAGAAACTAAACCTGAATGATTTTTTTCTATGAACATGTCTCTCTGTATCAAGTTTCCTAAAAAGGTTATCTATATCACTTTTTATCCACAGCCAAAACTATCCAGAGTGGTGAACTTTTAAAAATTGGCTGTGATATTCTTGGCAGTTAAAAATAAGAAATATAAATGTAACCAGCCAAAGCAGGTAGAAATTTAATCCTCATCAAAAACTTCTTAGAGAAAAGTTTATCTGCAATCAGCATTCCCAAACACGTATGAGTAATATCTAGATAAATCTTTTAAAAAGATATCCTGTATTAAATCCCCAAATGGTGACATCAGCAAATATTTTCCAAGAGAATAAGAGGGCTGTCCATCATGATGTTATCTTCCTTGGTTATAAATGCATTCCAAGTATTCAGACTTTTTCATAATTACTAGAGGGGTCACTTTTATAAAAAGACTAGAATTTTTATTTTGAAGGGGGGAAAAAGACAAAATTAGTTACAGAGTCAGATATAAAATTACTAAGCACAAACAGCTTTGAAAAATAAAACAATACTTTTTACATCGATTAATAAACTTATTACAGCCTGGAGCTGTTCTTTGCAAATATCTTTTCCCATTTGGTTGGGTGCCTTTTGTTTTGTTGGTAGTTTCTTTTGCTGTGCAGAAGCTTTTTAATCTGATTTAATCACAATTATTTATTTTTGCCTTTACTTCCCTTGTCTCTGGGGTCAAATTCATAAAATCTTCTCTAGGATTAAGGTCCATAAGTTAATTCCTATGTCTTCTGTGTAATTTATTTTTTTAGGTCTTATATTTAGGTCTTTGACCCATTTTGAGTTAATTTTTGCATTGGGAACAATCAATAGTTTAATTTCATTCTTTTGTTTGTGGCTTTCCAATTTTCCCAGCACCATTTACTCAAGAGGCTTTCTTTTCTCCTTTGTCAAAAAATATTTGCAGACATACATATGAGCTTATCTCTGGGATCTCTGCTCAAACAAGGGTTTAATATCTAAAATATATAAATAATACGGAATTCCACCAAACAACCCAATTAAAAAACATCAGAGAACATAAACAGACTTCTGCCAAGAAGACATACAAATGAACAACAGATATATGAAAAGATGCTCAACTTCACTGGCTATTAGAGAGATGCAAATCAAAACTATAATGAGATACCACCTCACACCTGTTTGATGGCTATTATCAACAAGACAAGTAGTAACAAATGTTAGAGAGACTATGGAGAAAAAGAAACCTTCATTCATGCTGGTAGGAATGTAAACAGGTACAGCCACAATGGGAACAATATGCTAGCTCCTCAAAATAGTAATACCATAGTTATCATATGCCCAGCAAGCCCTATTCTGGCTGTCTAACTTAAAATTTTGAAAACATTTATTGGCAAAGCTATATGCATCCCTGTGGTCATTGCAGCATTATTCATGGTGGCCAAGACATGGAAACAACCAAAGGGTCATTTGATAGATGATTGGATAAAGCAGATGTGGTACATCTATATAAAGGAGTCAGCCATAAGAAAAGATAAAAAATTGCCATTTGCAACAACATGGTTGGACCTTAAGAATATCATGTTAAGTGAAGTCAAACAGAAAAAGTTAAGAACCATATCATTTCACTTTTAAAGCTATCCAATTAGTAAAGATTTGAAAAATGACAATCACCAACCCTGGCTAACATTCAGTGGGTTAGTCTAGAAAACAGGCTATATATATCAAGAATTTTGAAGGAAAGCATTTAATTTTTTGTACTCGGTGAATGCATATCAAATATTCTCTGATAACCAAATGGTAAAATTACAAATAAAGACTTATATCAATCTGTCCTTTCATACAGTGTTATTTTACAGTAGCTTAAATATAAAAAATAATGAATGGTTAAAAATAAAACATGATGATCAATAAGAATTATCACTGGAATGAGTAAATGTTCAAAAAACTAATTTCTAGCATATTGGGTACATAATTCTATGTATAAAATAAACAAACATAATATAATAAAAACTGGCCTAAAAGGAATATATACAATTTTTTAGTGGATATCCTGGCAAGTACTTAAGAGTAATTTTTATATTTTTCTTTGTCTTTTAACATATTTTCTAAATTTTGTACAACAAATATTTACTACTTTTAAAGAAAGAATAAAAAATTACAACTATCTATAAAGTCCATGGTGCTGTTGCCCTTCACCTATAAAATAAAGTTCAAATTGGCTATATTCATGTTAAAGGCCTTTCAATCTGATTCCATTTTATCCATCCAAATTTATTCTTTTTTTCCTTTTTATTGAATTTATTGGGTTGACATTTGTTAACAAAATCATATAGGTTTCAGGTGTGTAATTCAATAACACATCGTCTGTATAATGTATTGTATGTTCACCACCCCAAGTCATCTCCTTCCATCACCACTTATTCCCTCTTTACCCTCTTCTACCTCCCCCCATCCCCTTTCCCTACGGTAATTACTGTACTATTGTCTATGAGTTTGAGTTTTATTTTATTTTATTTTATTTTATTTTATTTTATTAATCCTTTCACCTTTTCACACAGTTCCCCAACCCCTCTCCACCCCTCTACCACTCAACACTGTCTCAGATGGTCGCCAGGCATGTCATGGGCCATCTAGATGCTGCCCATGAGGTATGGAGCTTCTCCTCTGCCCTAGGGTTTCTGGCCACGATTTCCGGTTATAACCATGTAAAGCCAACTTAAGATATTCATGATGCTCTAAGCCAAGGTTGGCCATTCTAAAAAATCATTTTGGATCTGATTCCAATTAGTGCAGCCCAGTAATTCAAAAGGAGAAAAGGAGAGCAAAAATCCCATTAGTATTAGTTAAAAGAATTTAAAAAATCACTACTGTCATCATAACAATAGCAGTAACATTTCTTGAGAGCTTTCTGTTTATAAGAAGGCAGTGTTCAAATTTCATTTATCTTAATGCCCAGAATAATCCTCGATTTCAAATATGAAAAAAATAAGCCTCAGGTAGTTTATGCATATTTCCCAAGGAGATACAGCCACTGTAGAAATGGGATTCAAATCTAGGCTCTATTTGATATCAATATCTCTACACTAAAAAATTTGCTTATGGAAAATCCACTAGAAATCATTTTGCATATAACATTTTTATTAGTTAATCTAAATGAACATCCATGTTGAAAAGGTGCATTGGCTACAAAGTTTCCTATTACATATAAAAATAGATAAAAAGCCAATAAAACTTTCTTCTGAAAATCATTATATGTTAATATGTTTACCTGTATAGGACCAGCCAATCTCTTCAACAAGTTTTCTCTGTTGTCTATAGTATCCATAAGCCCAATCTAGAACCAAGAAAAAAACAATTAATTAATGTGTAGAAAAACTTGTCTAAATTTTTTTTAAAGTAAGATGGTCAAATTATCAATGCCATAAATGGTTCCTTATTACCCTACCATGTCACCTTCCCAATGTTTCCTCCCAACCCCAATCACTACCCTTATAGATCCCATTGTTGCTCTTTTTGTAGATAGTGTAAATTTTAGGAGGCAATTTAAAGAAGGCTGAAGTTCAGGCAAGGACAAAGCATATATTGTGGGTAAAGTAGGAGCAATTCAGAGGGGTTTATCCCAAAGGAGAGACTGTGTCAGGCATTCTATAAGTTCTCAGTTCAACTTTTCCTGTCTTCAAATTTTTCTTCCCATTTCCTAAGTCTAATGCTTATAATCCTATTGATTATTAGTAATACTTTTGGGTTTATAAAAACACAGGTTTTATCTGTAAACACTTCTGGGAGACCCAGAGGTTATCATGTTTTGAAAGTTTGCTTCTTTTACAATACAAAGTTAAATGAGGTGCTTGCAGAAGTGAGAACTGAGATGTGTGTGTGTTGGCTGGGAGAAACCCTCAGATCTAGCCAACCACTAATCTACTTTGTCTAGATTTGGTATTCTAGACATTTCTTATAAACAGAATCACACAATATATGGCCTTTTGTGACAGGCTTCTTTAATTTACCATAATTAATATTTCCAAAGTTCATCTATTTTGTAGCAATCATTACTTCATTCCTTTCATTGCCTTAAAAATACTCATTGTATAGTGACCAAAATGGTCTGTCTTAAAAGTTCCCCTCAGCCTGAATAAACTTTGGCCTGGCTTCTGCTTGACTCTAGGCCCCTGACCTACCTTTCCTTGGAGTTTAGAAGACTTGTATGGCAAATTCTCTCTGTGTCCCTGTGAGATGTAAGTCTTTTTTCCTAGTCACGTGGCAGTTTTACAGTCAGAAATGTACGCTCAAGGACTGGGAAATCTTCTCTTTGAAATGAAATTATCAAAGGAAATAGCACCCTTATCTCCTCTTTCTATGAGCAGGTAGGAGCCTAACTTCATTGGGATGACTGCTCCAAGTTCAAAAATTACCCTTTTGTCATAAAGTTATGCATTTATTTTTCCTTTGAATAAAGCCAATTAGCAAACACAAATAGTTTATGATTTCCCCCTTAGTGTTCTGCGGTACTTTTCCACTGGGGCTCACTCCAACCTTTAAACAACTTTACCCCCTCTGCCTCAATGGAGTTGAATTCAGACTTAATTATGGCTTCTTTCCCAATTGCAATAGCTTTGAATAAAGTCTCTCTTGCTGTTTAAACTTGTCTGGTACAATTTTTCTTCTGACAACGGATGTACCACATTTTATTTATCCATTCACCAACTAATTAATGGATAGTTAGGTTGTTTCTTTGGGGGGGAGGCTATTATGAGTAGAATTGATATTAATATTCATACATGTATTTGTTTTTCTACTTAAAAATTAAATGTTAGGTTTCTACTTCATTTATCAAATAGTTATCCCATAGTATGGTGGTCATTTATGATTAAAATGTTTCTTCATGATCAAGGAATATATCAAATTAAATATTAGAAAATGTCTCAAAGATCATTTGACTCAGACCTCAATAGTCTACAAAAAAAATAATTCCTGTCCTAGCTGGTTTGGCTCAGTGGAGAGAGCATTGGCCTGTGGACTGAAGGGTCCTGGGTTCCATTCCGGTCAAGGGTATATACCTGGGTTATGGGCTCAATCCCCAGTGGGGTGCTGCAGGAGGCAGCTGATCAATGATTCTCTCTCATCACTGATGTTTCTATCTCTCTCCTCTCTCCCTTCCTCTCTGAAATCAATAAAAAAAAAATATATTTTTTTAAATTCTTATTTTAGAGTAAAGTATTTATGCCAAAGAAATGTAAGTGGTGTGTAAAGGTAGCGACAGAAATGAACACAATAAACATGGCACCTGCCTCCTACTGCCCTGAGCCTTCCCCAATTATTCCTAACAATCCTGAGCTATTCGTTACTACCCAAAGGTGTGCTGCCTGAGCAGGAACCACTATTGCACATATACTGTCAAGAGAACCAAAATAAAACAAAATGAGACAGAAATTATTTAGGTATATAAATGACTGAGAATTGACTATATACCTAATTTGAACTGGCCATCAACTGTACTTTTCCTCTGAAACTTTGCACTGACCACAGGGAAAAAGTTTTTCATCTTATTATATATTTTAAATATAAATATTTTTAAATATAAGACTTTTTGTCCTCTCAATGCATTTTGATGATTTCAGATCAAAGATCATACAAAACCTACATTTATCAAGTATTATATTGAAATAAATAAAACAGTAAATTCTTGTTTAAATGATTCAGTCTAAAAGATGACAATAAATAGCAAAATTTAGCTTTCCTTGGGGCTCAAACTCTACAGAATGAGCAGTTGTCCTTGGTTTTTAATCGCTTACCTTAAGAAAGCTTTCCCCCATGCTTCCATGTCTCTGGAAGCTTGGAACAGAGGGTGGAATCTGAGATGGAAGGCAGGGGGTGGGGGCTGGGAGGGTGGGTGAGTGAAAGGTAATCAGTCTAGGACCTTGCATGCATATCTGCATGGCATGGCCGGTGGACACAGACAATGGGGCAGTGAGGGCCTGTAGGTTTTGTATGATCTTTGGTCTGAAATCATCAAAATGCATTTCGGGTGGGGGCTGGCTGGAGGAGGTCAATGGGAGGGAAAGGGGATATGTGTAATACTTTCAACAATAAAGAATTATTATTTTTTTTTTAAAAAAAAAGCTTTTTTCAATACAAGATTCCCAGATGTTGGTAGTTCCCTTCAGTTCCTTTCCATATTGTTTTCTTGTTACTTCAAACAACCCATTGCACATTCATATGCTAGTTGCATAGGCTTTGAGTGTGAGAGTATCCCCTTAGAGGTCTGATAGATAAGATGTGATAGCTCCAATGAACCAGAAAAAAGAAGCCAGGGTCACTATTTTTCTTGCATTATATACTTTGAAAATCAACATATAAAATAGAATCTATCAAAGTACTTAAACATTTTTAAATCAATTAAAATAATAAAATAGACTTCTTTTTTTGTTTCTGTGAACTTCAGTTTCTTTAGTTTTTATCTATTTTTCTTTCCATTTAAACATATTTGCCAGGTCTGTTTTGGTGTGCTTTGTACTGTTAAAACTAAGAAATGAATTTCAGAAATGAATTGTACACATGATACACAAAAAACATATATATATTAAGGCTACTCTAAAATTTGTCCTAAAATATTCTTTATAAAATGATTTTATAACCTGCTACAAAAAAAAAAAAAAAAAAGAGAGAGAGAGAAATTTGCTTTATTTTATTTCAGGTAACCTTAAAAGTACTTGTTGCAACATATTCGATCTTATACTTAACTTGAGCTTCTAGATATATGCAAATCTGTATATGTCTATGTGTGTATATGTGTGTGTGTATATATATATATGTATGTGTGTGTGTGTGTATGTGTGTATGTGTATACACATACATATATATACATATATATGTTATATTATATACACACATATATATTATATTCAAAGAATATAAAGAAAAATATGTGTATGAAAGGTATAGGTAAAATTAGCATTTTTTTTGCTAAAGTTTTTTTTTCATTTTTGCCCTTTCCCACCCTACTGCTATACTTGTCCTTGCTCAAGTTTTTAAAACAACAAAATTAGAGTGCTCATTTAATATCATTATAATGATATTAAGATATCATTATAAATATTTCAAATTACAAAAATGCCTCTGATTTTGCCCTTAACTTAAAAAGTCTTTGCTTCTTGTTGGTTAACATATATTCTACTTATTGTTTGTATCCAAGTACATAAACTAGCAGCAGTGCTCTGACAAAACACACACACACACACACACACACATCTTTAATACTATAAAGTGGCCAGATATTATGACAAGGAGAAGAAATTCAGCTTTTGGTGGGAAATAACCACAGATACAAGTTTGAAGTTTAAGATTCTAAAACTAAATTTCTCTAGTGGACTTTGCCAAAGGAGATGATACTAACAAATTTCCCATCCTTTGAAAGAAAATCACTAAGGAACTTCAGAGGAGGGACGTCTGGAAAGGCAGAGAAGAAATGAAATTAAAAATGAAACTTTAAAGCCCTTAGACTGACAAGGAGACTGGGAGACAGGCATTGACAGGTTCAGATAGAGGAAAAGGCATGAGCACCAAGCAGTGGCAAATGCTGAAACCAAAGGTTTAATAGGCCAGTTGGGCCCCCATATAGGGTCTGCATAGATCACTAGGAGCTTATTCTTGGTGACAACTCACCGTGATACAAAAGTCACTTCAATGTTCATACTTTTTGTCATCCAACTCTCTCCTCTTATCTACATTTCTTTTAAAAACAGGAAGGAGACAGTCTGCTGAGTTAACTGGGAAGTATTCATATATTTCATATACTGCGCATATTTTAAAGGAAAACATTACAGAAGAGTATGTAGCCTGGCTGGTGTGGCTCAGGGGCTGACCATCCACCCATGAGCCAGGAGGTCACCCGTTAGATTCCTGGTCAGGGCCCACACCAAGGTTTAGGGCTCGATCCACAGCAGGGGGTGTGCAGGAGGCAGCCAACTGATGTTTCTCTCTCATCAATGCTTCTCTCTCTCTATGCCTCTCCCTTTCCTCTCTCCCTAAATTCAATGAAAAATATTTAGTAAAAAATAAATGGATAAATAAGATTGGGTAATAATGCAATAAATATTTCTAATTGAAGTGAGAGAGGTTGGGGGTGGGTGGGTAAAGAATTTAGATGGCTGGTATCTGCTTGAAGGAAGACCTGGAAACTCCTGACCACAATTTAATGTCATTGGAACAATTATCACCCACTAAATAATGTGGCCGTCAGACACCCATTAGACTGAAGCGGCAGTGATAAGAAAGGGTGATCGCTCTAGCAGTCATCACCCATCTATTACAGAAACAAAATAATAGAAGTCCCCT